CTCAATTCAGTACGTTATGCCAAGTTTCATGTAAATCGAAAGATATATAGGCACTTTGGTGCACCATTCACATAAAATCGGACGAAACTTTATATGGGAGCTACATATAAATCTGGACCGATTTTCACGAAACTTGGCAGACATCACTCCAGGCTCAATTCAGTACGTTATGCCAAATTTCGTGCAAATCGAAAGATATATAGGGACTTTGGTGCACCATTTACATTAAATCGGACGAAACTATATATGGGAGCTATATATATATTTGAAACGATTTTCAGGAAACTTTACACGCGTAATTCTAGGCTTACTGTAGCACGCTGTGCCAAATTTCGTGCGATATATATATATATATATATATTTATATATATATATATATATATATATATATGGAAGCTATATCTAAATCTGAACCGATTTTTCCCGATTTCAATAGGGTTCGTCCTTGGGCCAAATAATTGAGCTATGCCAAATTTCATCCAAAGCGGATGATAAATGCGACCTGTACTTTGTTTACAATTTAACTTCAACAGACGGACGGACATGCATAAAACGACTCAGAAAGTGATTCTATGCATATTCTGAAAAGGAACCATGGGTCTATCTCGATTATTTTTGCAAACATATGCACAAAGACATAATACCCTGTACCACAGTGTGGTGAAGGGTATAAAAATCCGCTAACGACGTAGTGGGCCTATGCTAGTAATATATATATATATATATATTTCACTAAATATTTCTGCCATTTCTATTTTCTTATATTTTTTTTTGCTTTATTTAGTAATTCCACCAGTAATATTGATTAGCTTTTTTATGGTTTTTAATTAATATCTTCCTCCCAAAACAAGGTAATGAACCAAATATTCTTCACACACACACACACACACACAAAAACTCACATTTTATTTCGTGAAGAGTTTATCGTAAAAGGTATGTCTTCGATGTTCAACGGCAACGTCATCATTTGATAAATTATACACGTAGCCCAGGAAGTGAAAGAGAGTGAACAAAATACAACACATCACCAACAAGGTCATTTTTCTGTTCATTTCATAGCAGTGGCTAATTAAGCTGTACATATCCTGCCCAAAAACATGCAATTTAGAGAATTCACAAAAAAAAGAAACAAAATAAAATCATGGCTACAGTCAATGCCTGAAAAATTAGCGATGTTGCAGATTTTGAAATTTGTGTTATTATATTCAGTACTCCATAGCCTATGAGGGGTTTACAGGAGAACATGAAATTTGTGACATGAGAAAATATGCACATTATATCGGCTATAGGAAACATAAATAGAAGGAAAATAGTGAATGCGACGCATTAATATCTAAAATAAAGTGTTTTCAATAGATACAATGTATACATCACAACAATATTCATGTCGGCTTACGTTTTGGTATAGCCCATGTATAGATGTATCTCTCGATTTGTTCATATATTGAGGATTTACGACACATATAATAATTTTACGAATCCACTTCTATTAACATGGCCTAAAAAATATATTTAAAAATCCATGCCTATTAACGTCGACTGAAAAATACATTTAAAAATATTAACGCCTATTAATAGGGCCTGAAAATATAGATTTATAACAATCACGACTATTAAAAGGGTCTGAAAAATATTTATTTCAAATATCTATGCCTATAAATAGGTCCGGAAAAATATATAAAAATGAAACGAACATAAAAAGGCCTGAATGATATATATAAGATATATTATATAGGGCTTGAAAATGTGTTAAAATGACTGTATATTAATAGGGCATTAAATTCGGCAGGTACGAACTTTGAATACCCTCCACCAAAGGAATATTGATAGTTACTTGAAATGAAAATATAGGGAATATATCAAAAAGCCGACCTATAAAGACAATTTAACGAATAGACTGCTGGAAATCACAATCAACAGGTGGGGTATAAAATGTTTAAAAAATCCTCCACATACTACAATTTGGATGGCAATGTTATATGAAGCTATACCTAAAGCCGGACCAATATTGATTACGTCATGTAGAAATTATCGAATATTTGGTGTTTTCATTATATAAGGGGTATGCTTAATTAAGGCCCAATATAGCCCACTTTCAAAGCTTATATTTTATTTTTGTATCTCGATACCATCCATCACGCCAAATATTAAAACTATCGGATGCTAGGCATAAATGCGGGCCGATATATTATAAATCCATTATTTTTATATGAACTATATGACTGAAGGTCCAAACATGCACCGTTTTGTTATATGATTTGTTGCAATTTAAAAAGTAACTTAACTATTTGCAAAAAAAATCTAGTAGTCGATTTTTACAATCCTCCCTAGATATCAATTTTTTTCTGTAAATTGGTGTGGCACAAAAACACCGATCTTCTTTTTGAATCCAACTTTGTGTAATTGTTTAAAACAGTTTTATGGTCGATTTTTAGTTTCTGGGAGATGTTGCGACTGCTAGCATGCGGTCAATTTCGATAATTTCGCCGAGTTTATCGACATTTTCATGATGGATATATAGCGATATAGCTCAATTTTGAAGCAAATATTTTACTTTTGTTTCTCAATACTTTCCTTTACGCTAAATACTAAAACTTCCGGAAATCGGGAAATGTCATATATGAGTCAGGTTCATATATCACGATATCCTCCGAAAATAGAATGATTACAATCGTCTTTGAATTCTATACTTTCTAGTGTATAAAATGACAATTTCGAGTAAAGAAAATCCATCACAACACACGGAACTAATCAGTATGGGACTATACCCAAAAGGGGGCTAATATTAATAATTATTGGTAAGGAGATTCATTAGCAAATACGAATACTTAATAGGAAATTTTCAGGAAATTCGCTTTAAGAAACGTAAAATGGGAAGATTTGACACCCAATAGAACCGAACATACCAAATTACAGTCAATTTATATATAAAATTGGACCGATATTGATAATTATTAGTGGATAGCATTCTTATCAAATGAGAATCCAAAATATCAAATTACAACCAATTCGAATGAAAAACGTGCCCAAACTTCCCAAAATACCGAAATGTTTGGGGGTACTTTTATATGGGGCCTACCCAAAAATACCGTACCTTTGTATGGCGGGGTACCCGAAAAAATGACCGATAATGATAATTTTTAGTTGAGAGATTGGTAAGCAATAAAAATTCAATGTGCCAAATTACAGCAAATTCCCAAACGGTCAACGTATAGCCTATCTTCGAACTTGAAATGCCTGCAGACTAAAAACAATGCTGTGCCTAATTTCAGCACCATACATCAATTCTTTCAGAAGATCGTCTTAGAATTTTACCCTGATCAAGAATAAACAGGCGGAAATGAATATTTCGATAATTACAATATTTATATATATATATATATATTATAAATATATAAATCGTCCTAAAAATATTATTTAAATTCCGCCAATGACTGGAATATTGGTACAAAAAATATTAACAAAATATATATCGTGAAGTACAAAATAATTTTTTTAAAAACTACTATGAATAGACTTAAAAATATGTTTAAAAACTTGACGAAAAATTCAATTCAAATTCATTCCAGTACAAGTATAAATGTCGTTATGATCGGTCGGCCCGATGCTTTAGATGTGAGTCTTTATATAGAGTGAACTTTGTACATTGTTTGCCAATAAAAATTATGGACACTCCGTTTTAAAAATCGAAGTCTGAACTAAAATGGGAGGGACGTTTGTAGGCAAGTAGGTCGAAACATGGCCCTATATTGGCAGTATTCTGCGAATATGTTGTTTATATCTATCAAGAACCCATATATCAAATTATAACTATATTGTTTGGAGAATACATATTTACATATTTAAAAATATCGAAATATGTCTGCGAAGAAGTTTTTTACCCACCGAGATCCCAGAATGTCAAAATACAGTCACTTCGGTCTTAAAACGAGGTTTAAACATTAAAAATAGAAACTTGGTTGGAACTGTTAAATGGGGGATATGCCGGAAGCTGTTTTAAAGGGAGGATAAATAAAATATACACTCCATTTTATTAATTAGGGTATAATGACATGGGCTTTATTTAGCTTTCATCGGCTAAGATGTAGATAGGTTATAAAGTACAATTTTGTTCATCTCTACGTCTGCACAATCAAACATAATTATTATTTGTCAAGTATTTTCATAGAAATTTTCATAGATCTTCATAATATTTTGAATTTTTTCAAAATAAATGATTTTATATTCCACATGCTGTCAGTGCTAATAATTAGGAAGCTTACTTCTTTCCTATGTGACCTGTAAAATATCTGTATTTGTAATATTATACATTTCCTTTTGTTGTATTTTCCTTCTAAAGGACATGCGATTAATTTCATTCCACTTCCCTTTCATGTACATAACGTAATTCCTCATTAATACCATACAACTGACCAAAGACTGTATACGCGATGTGATATTATCATCGTCAATGTTTACTGGAAATAAGAAGCTGTGCAAAAACCTCACAACACAGAAGACAGGTAGTTAAGGTGATTATGTCCTTCATGTATATAACATGTAATATAGCTGATAAATCCAACAGCAACAACAACAACATCATGAATGGACTGATGAGGAGGGACCAGAAAATGGAAAAACAACAGAAGCATCAAAAAATCAACTACAACAACAAATGATTGTGTAAACCAATGTGTTTCATTGATTACAAGTTACGATCCCGATACAATTTACGGTTTTTTTTACATAAATACCGATAACAACAAAAAAGTGGGCAATCTCGCTCTTACTAATTTCACAAACTCATATACACCTATATATACATATAAAGCAATTTAAAGGTATGAAGACGAAGAAGAAAAAGATACTAATTGGACCACGGGCAACCAACAGCAGCAGCACAAGTTACCATTTTCCCCTGCCGTTTTACTTTGGATGTAGTTGTGTGTTTGAGTTTCTGTATATGTGTGTGTGTTTTTTTTTATAAATACAATACCATGCAGCTTAACCTAGTTACTTACCGGTCCTTATACTGACTGATTGGTGGCGAATTGAAAACAGCCACATTTGGTTTACCGCTCAGCTGTAAAGTTTTACGTGACTTGCCAAGTTGATTTTCAGCAACACACGAATAATTACCGAAATCTTGTGGATGCACTTTACGTATAATCAGCGTATGACGTGAGCCACGATTCTCCATAATGTGACGCTCGGTGGTATCCAATTGCATGGTGTCCTTAAACCAAATGACCTACATAGTGTTGAGCAGAGCAAAAACAACAACATCATCATACAGAAAATTGGGTAGATGGTGTTCGTATTCCCAGTGGATGGAGATTAAGGAAGAATGGTAAAGGGTACGTGGTATAAGATATTGAGCAATAACATTTTAAGATTTATTAAATTTAATAACAAAAAGTCAAAATAAAATAAAAGATTTACAATTTGACATTTGTAAAGAATGCACCAGTATGTGTGTGGAGGGTTGAAAAAAAAACGACGAGCAACACAAACAGGATTTACGTATATATTTTTGACATTTGTTTATGTTGGATGACAGATTTATTTAATCAGTATAAAGAAATACGAAATATGTCAGTCAGGATAACACGCACAACCGAACACACACACACACACAGGAACACATATGTGTGTGCACATATTATGCCATATCAGAACGGCCAGAACCAGTCATATAAACAACGAACGCATGACAGACACCATAATAAGCACAAACAACACACCATATGATGGAATTTTGGGCCAAAAAATGTGGACATTTTGACGTTGACATTGTCATTGTTGCCGTCATCATATGTATAAAAATAATAATAATAGAATACAAACAACAAATGACAGGAACAACAACAACAGCAGCGGCAGTGTTCCCCACGAGAAAAACAGTTACAATTTGAAGAGTGGAGTGGCATTTTTTTGAGAAAGAGAGAGTGAGAGTTAAGGAGGTGTATGAGTAAGGCCATTTAACCGTAAAAAAATCATGTTTCATTACAAAACAACCAACACAGAATACAAGGCATTAAGTCAAGAGATAAAGAGGGAGAGTGATAGTGTGAGAGTCAGGTCATATGGGATATGAGTGAAACAATTGGAAAAATCAAATCAGAACCATATTCAATTGGAAAGAATTAACAAAATTGTCCAAAGCCATGCATAGGGAGAGTGAAGAAAAGAAACAAAGTGAGAGCCAGCACATTTGTGTTATGGGAGAAAGTAGGTATCAAATCACACAAGGCAATGAGATAGAGCGAGCGATGAAAGGGAGAATGGAATGAGAGATCCAATATATATCAACAAGATGATTCATGTCAAAAACAACAGGCCAGCCAATGCACAAATTCAAGAAAGAAAAAAGACAGTTCGAGAGCCAAGTGAGGTGTTTCATGACAAAAACAACAGCACAATCAAAGACATAAAGTGAAGACAGAGAGAGAGATAGAGAGGGGGGAATAGGGACAGAGTAAGAATCAGACCATATGTGGTATGAGAGTAAACATGTGAGTATCCAATTTAAATGATTTTCATGATAACAGGCAGATTGGGTGTATGACAGATATGTAAACGATCATATGATGGGTGGTAAAAGAAGATAAATAAAATATTTGACCGGTGATGGGAGAGTGTAATAAAAATACAAAGTATCACGGCAGACAACAACAGCAGGTGTGCAATTCAGCGCCAAGAGAATGGTTGTTAGATGTCAAACAAGATCAACAGAGTGAGATGTGACAAAGAGGTTAGAGATGTGTTTCCGGATAAACACGCACACACACACATTGTACAAACAAAACAAATAATAACAAGTATCCGCACCATGGTATTAGAGGCCGTAATGTGCCCAGAATATATGGGTAAACCAAATAAATAGAAAATATACAAACAATATAAACAATTGAGGCCACATAGATAGAAGATTCATTGTTGTCATTGTGTATTTTTTTCATGCGACAATATTGTTGTTGTTATTATTGTTGCGGGGAGAAAAATATATATTTTTCATGCATGGATGTGTGTGTATATATTGAGCAAATGTTTTTAAAACATTGCATTGTTGACGATATGCCATACAAATAGGGATAAACGGTTGTACAACACACATGCACACATACACACACAATCAAACAACAATGTATATACGATGGTGTCCGAATGTGTGATTGTTTTTTGAAAAAAACAACAGCAACAACAAATTGGAGAAAGTGTAGGCATGTGTTTGGTTTTCATTGGTGTTGATTGTCATTTTGAATCGCAGCAAAAGAATGGCATCATGGTTACAGGCAAAATACATCATCGGCAAAGCCATTTGCCCGTTGTCATCATTATTGTTCAGATATAAGTGGACAAGCGTACGAGTGGGTGGTTGAGAGTTTGTCGGATGTGAGTGTGTGTCAAAGAAGAGTGTTTTTTTTTGTATATTTATATTGTTTGGAAATGGACATGGACAAGTGAATGAATGAATAAAAGAGTGTGAATGTGTGTTGTTTTATGGTACATTATACCGTATGTGTTGTATATATATTTTGTCATGTGTATAAACAACAGGCATTTTGGCCCGGCAAAATACCAGCAAAAAATTAACAATTGTTGATGTTGGAGCGGTTGTTTGTTTTCAGGTTTTACGTGACGTGTTGCCAGTGAAAAAGTGTAACGAAAAAAATATAAAAAAATAAATTTGTTGTTGACGTTTGCAGGTTTTTTATGTTATTTATGTGTGAGGGGGGTTTTATTGTTTATTTTCCGTTTGTTTTTCCAGAAAATAATTTATCAAACAATACCCGCACACACACACAAATGCACACAGAGGAAACACAAGGAACGGAAACGGTTACACAGATAGATGAAAATTCACGATTTTTTTGGCAATTTTTTGTTATTTATTTTGCCATATTTGGTTGACCATTTTGTTTTTCATTTCACCGAAAAAAATTACAAAGGGATATCCGTGCATAAAATATGTTGCATTTTTGTTATCATTTGTTGCACATAGGTAGTGTTTTTGTTATTTGTAACAAAAAATTCAGCCCCACACCGAAAAATAAATAAATAAAAAAATAATATCAAAAAAGGTGCATAAGAATTCCATGAATTTCATTGTTTTCATTTGCCGCATATTTTCATAGAAATTGAAGCGTAACGAAGCGTATGTATGTTGACATGGCATAAAAGCGTTAAAATTATTAATATCCATAGTTATTTTTCGGTTGTTGTTGTTATTTAACATTTTCATCGCCATCATTGTATTTTCAATATTTTTCCATTGTTCGTTGTCGTCGTCGTCATCGTCGTTGTTGATGCCGTTGACAGGCAGCACCAAATATGTTGATGATGATGATGACGATAATGTTGATGGTTGTTTGATTTGATGACACACCCAAAGGTATGTAACACGATCGCAGATGAAAAGAGAAAGAAAGAAAAAAAGAATAGCAACATGTTCGTTAGTAAAATATATTTTTTTAAATAAATATTATTATATTCACATACACACACATACAAATAACAGAGGATATTGTTAGTAGCGAATTTATGTATCGAATATAGGTTATTGTAAACAATACAAGATAAAAAATTAATATGCATGTAAACATTTCTGTGAATAAATATAAACGCCAGTTCGTTGGAAAAAAATGTTTATCTGTTTATTAAACAGTTGCTCATGTTTCCAAATTCAATATTTAAGTGAAAAGTTGTAGAAGGACTTATAACTTTGGGGGTACAAGTATATGACTTTAAGAATATTGTATCATTCTAGACTCATATAAATTCAACCGTGAATGTTTAAAATGTTTAAGATTTTCGGGGGATCTACCAGATCAACTTTTAGAAACATGTTTACGATAATCGAGTTTTGAATCAATTTATACTACAACAAGACATTTTTCAGAGGCATTTATTCTCAGAAACATGTCAAAATGGCATGAAGTTCCCGGCTAGAAAAACCTAGAACCTTAACCCTATATGCGGTTAATTTTGTTTCAATTATAAATAAATTAGATTTCTTATAAGGTAGCAAATCTGTCCACTAAAAACTATAAATATAGGTCCTTTTACGGGTAGTATTTTGGGTTCTAATTCTTAAAATTTTAAATAAAGGTCCACAATTTCGGGTAGCTCTCATATAAAAGTACCTCCTAAAATTGGTTGATTCAGGGTTTTTAGTGCGTTTTCAACCGATTTTATCGTAATTTAGTTGGTTATGAAGTCCCATTTTTCGGTATTTTCGCTGTAATTTAGAACTTTATGTTCTTATTGTGTACTAAATTTCTCCACTAAAATTTATAATTAAAAGCCCACTTTTTCGAGTAGCCTCCATATAACCGTACCCCCTAAAATTGCCTGCAATTTGGTGCTTTGTAAAATTATTAGTATTTGCCCAATTTTTTGGGTAGTCCCCATATAACCCAGATTTTGTATACACTGCACCATAGTATGAAAGTTATATTAATTTTGTCATTCCGTTTGTAACTCATCGAAATATAAAGTATATATTCTAGATCAGGGAAAAAGGTTCTAAGACGATCTAGCCATGTCCGAAATATTCAGTATTTTGCGGGGTTTGATCATATTTTTCCACCGAATTGGCTGTAATTTAGTATTTTGAGTTCTTAATAAGTAACAAAAATTTTCCACAAAAACTTTCCCACACAAGGGTACCCCCTTTTCGACCGAATTCGTATGTGTACGTTGGTGATAGCCTGATTCGACAAAATCGGTCCACATTTTGGGGTTTTGCGATTTTAGGACAAATCTGCATTAAAAATTGCAGAAATTTGTATTTGGTACACATTATGGATTACAACAACAATTGATGGTATAGGTATACTTCAAGTAAGTATCTGTACACCTATGGTGTAGCGTATCCACAGTTCGGCCCAGCCGAACTTAACCTTTTTATACCCTTCACCTCACTGTGGTACAGGGTGTTATGCCTATAATGTTAATGGAACAGCAAAGCCCCTTAAGTGTAGAATGATGTGTGCTAAGTTTCGTGAAAATCTGTTCGTCCGATTTAATGTAAATGGTGCACCAAAGACCCTATATATCTTTCGATTTACACGAATTTGGGCATAGCGAACTGAATTAAGTCTAGAATAATGTGTGCTAATTTTCGTGAAAATTGGTTCAGATTTATATATACGTTTTCATCCCATTTAAATTGGGCATAGAATGAAGTAGTTGCGTTTTGTAGAAATGCAGACATAGCGCATATATATGGTTTCGACCGACTTCATA